GGGGGGGGGGGGGGGGGGGGGGGGGGGGGGGGGGGTGGCGTAGGAGCAGCGGAGGGCGAACGAAGACAGGGGGGGGGGGGGGGGGAAGTGGTTTGGGGATGGAGCCATGCCATTGACCTGAGGGTTCCATCTTGCAGTAGCATTCAGTCGATGTGGCAGACTGTTTCGTCGGGCTTTCACCGACTCATCAGGAGGTTGAACCCCGACAGTCTGCCCAGAGTGAAAGCGAGAAGCAGCGAGCGAGAGAGAGAGTTGGGCACCCCGACAGTCTGCCCAGAGTGAAAGAGAGAAGCAGCGAGCGAGAGAGAGAGTTGCGCGCTGCGCACCAAGGTCCACAACAGCAAGCAGGGCATACAAAACACGGGCCGAGGCAGTACCCAGCATGTACTACGGCAAACAACATGAACGCGTCGGCACAAAGCTCAAGAAAATATGGCGCTATGTGGTTGGAACCGACAAAGGCGAAGTGAGGTACCCAAAGCGAGGTACCCAAAGTTGCCTGCGAACTGGGCCGTCGGGCCGTTCGCCCCGAGGTACTGGGCCGACGGCCTGGATCTACGCGCACGGCATTTAAAGACTCCGGTAATACTCCACGGGACTCCGCGGCGCGTCTATCTGCAAAAGGCACTCCACGGCGTGTCTATCTGAGCCGTCGGTACGGACCGACGGCCTGATTCTCGGCGCGGTTCTAAGATCTTAAGACCGCATCTATCCAGGCCGTCAGTCTGGTAGGATCCGACGGCCCAGATGGCAGATTTGTTACATGGTTAGGTCGATCTGGGTCGTGGGCCGGTAGGACCGACGACGGCCCGGATTTTCAGATTTGTCACGTTAGCGATTTTAATAGTGTAGGGAAATTTTCGATCCCGAACAAACCGAATAGCTTCCCCCCATGCCCGTAAATCAACCACCACGTGTCTGTTGGGGAATAGTACTGGGGCTTGGCACTAGCGTTTTTTTTTCCCCCGCAATAGCACATAAGGGTCATTATAACGCTATGCATGTATTTAGCACAACTTCCGTCCAGATACGGTGACAATGACCATATGTCGTTCTATTTGCGGGAAGAGGGTAGCGGCGGCTCAACAAACACATTGTGAAAACTCACACA